TATTATCCTCTTTTTGCTTCCTAGATTCGGAAGGAGAATAAAGATAAAAGAACAAGAATACTAACCCGAAAAAAGAGGGACAACGAAAGGAAAGAACAGAGATAGAGGAGAAGGAAGAAGGAGGTGAGGGAGAGGAGGAGCGAGGAGGAGGAGGGGGAGGAGGGGGGAGGAGGGGGGGGAGGGGGAGGAGGAGGAGAGGAGGAGGAGGAGGAGGGAGGAGGAGGAGGGAGGAGGAGGGGGAGGAGGAGGGAGGAGGAGGAGGAGGAGGAGGGAGGAGGAGGAGGGGAGAGGAGGAGGAGGACCACTCGCCTCATGCGCTGGATGGGAGGCCGAGTTCCCGACGGTGGGTTTCCATTCCTCTTGTTGACTTGCATTTCCCTCTTTATCGTCGTCTTCTTCTTCTTCCTTCTTTCATTTCCATCCTCTTCTTTATTGGTCTTCCTCCTTCTTCTTCTTCTTCTTGCATATCCCTTCCCTCATCTTTATCGTCGTGTTCCTTCTTCTTCTTCTTCTTGCATCTTCCTCCTCTTCTTTATCGTCGTTTTCCTTCTTCTTCTTCTTCCATTTCCCCCTCTTGTTTATCGTCGCCTTTCTTCTTCTTCTTCTTCTTGCATTTCCCCCCTCTTCTATATCATCATCTTCCCTTTTCTTCTTCTTCTTGCATCTTCCTCCTCTTCTGTATCGTCGTGTTCCTTCTTCTTCTTCCATTTCTCTCCTCTTCCTTATCGTCGTTTTCCTTCTTCTTCTTCTTCTCTTCTGCATTTCCCTCCTTCTTTATCTTCGTCTTCCTTCTTCTTCTTCTTCTTCTTCTTCTTCCTCTTCCTCCTCTTCCTTCGCATGTTCAATCTTCATCGTCATTGTCTGTAGCCTTTTTTTTTTTTTTTTTTTTTGAGGATGGGGGTAAGATGATGCAGATTGATAAGAGAGAGAGAGAGAGAGAGAGAGAGAGAGAGAGAGAGAGAGAGAGAGAGAGAGAGAGAAGAGAGAGAGAGAGAAGAGAGAGAGAGAGAGAGAGAGAGAGAGAGAGAGAGAGAGAGAGAGAGAAGAGAGAGAGAGAGAAGAGGAGAGAGAGAAAGAGAAAGAGAGAGAGAAAGAGAAAAGAGAAGAGAGAAAGAGAAAGAGAAGAGAGAGAGAGAGAGAGAGAGAGAGAGAGAGAGAGAGAGGAGAGAGAAGAGAGAGAGAAAGAGAAAGAGAAAGAGAAGAGAGAGAACGGAAAAAAAGAGAAAGAGAGAGAGAGAGAATGTGATAAAATGCAGGGAATTCTTCGACCGCGTGTTAAAATTTTCCGTCATGGAGCAGTCCGTCAATTGCCTTTGGTTTAATGAGGTAGAACAGTGGACTTTCGATTTTATCCTTTTTTATCCTTTTCTGTTTCGTTTCTGGTTCTTATTCTCCCTTATTTCGCCTTCTTTATCGTCATCAACAACAACGATACCCCTTTTCTCGCCCTACTCCTTTTTCTCTTTCTCTTTCTCCTTCTCCACCTCTTTTGTCTCTCCTACTACCACCATATCCTTCTCCTTCCCCTCCTCCTCCTCCTTCGTGTTTTTCGTCTTCTACTCCTTCTTCTTATTATTCTTTTATTCTCCCTCCTCTTCCACTTCCCCTCCTCCCCCTACCCCTTCCTCCTCACACCTCCCCCCCTTCCAACCACCCCTCCCTCTCCCCCTTACACCACCACCTCCCCCTCCCCTTCCCCTTCTCCACCCCCTCCCTTCCACCTCCCCACCCCACTCCATCCCCCTTCTCCACCTCCACCTCCTCCATCCTCCATCCTCCATCCTCCATCCTCCATCCTCCATCCTCCTCCTCCTCCGCATTCCGGCTCCTGAAGAAGTCCCCTTGCTATTTCGAGCTCCGGAGTCTCTCGCTTGTCTCCTCACTGACGGGTGTTTGTTGACTTATTGATCGGCTGGAGAGAACGAGGCCAGGGTATATGACATCTCTTCAGCAGTGTCTCGAGATCCTGTGTATTATTTTTTCTTCTTTTTTTCGTTTATTTGTTTTTTTTTTCTTTTTTTATTTTTTTTTTATTGTTGTTTATTTTTTTTATTTTATCTTTTTTTTAGAATTACGTATTTTTTTTCTTGTTCGTATGGTCTGCTTTTGTTTTCGTTTTGTTTCCTTTCGTACTTCTTCTTATTATTATTTTTAATTGTGAAAATACGTTTTTTTTAATCTTTGTTTTCTTCTTTTTAAAATCTTAATACCTGGTGCGTCTTCCAACTTCAGAATTCCTAGTCCTGAAATTAGTTTATGTTCGAGTTCTTGCTTATTAACAATTGTGTGTTAGGAAACCCTTATTATTATTATTATCAACCTTTTTCTTTTTTCCATTTTGTATTTTTCTCTTTCCTATCTTCCTATTATTATTATTAACTTTAATTATTTATCTATTTTCTGTTGTTTTCTCTCTCCAATCTTCCTATTATTATTATTATTATCTTTATCTTTTTTTCCGTTTTTTATTTTTTTCTCTCTCCTGTCTTCCTATTCTTCTTCTTATTAGTATTATCTTTATCTTTTTCTTTCTTCCAATTTGTATTTCTTTTCTCTCTCCAATCTTCCTATCTTCCTATTATTATTATTATTATCATCTTTATCTTTTTCTCTCTTCCCCTTTCTATTTCTCTCTCTCTCTCTCTTCTCTCTCTCTCTCTCTCTCTCTCTCTCTCTCTCTCTCTCTCTCCTCTCTCTCTCTCTCTCTCTCTCGGAAGAATCCTGAGAGACGTGCGCGAGAAGCCTCCTGAGTGATGACTGACGTTTTAAAGATGACTTAAGATTTCCCCGAGGTTCTGGTGGTCTTAATCTTAGCCAGGTATTTTATAGGCTTAGTCTCAGACCTTGGACTCGGTGCTTAGAGGCAGAGGAAAGACCGGAAGAC